GTGTCTGCTATAGAATACAGCTCATTTACTAGTCATGCATAGATATCTCATTTCTTTTGCATTTTTATCCAGTTAGTGTGCACACACATACACCTGAATTTACACCAACGACGGGTGATATCATAGCTTACAACAACAACAACAAATAATAATAAAAATAAGTAAATAAGTAGAGAAACAAAAGTACAAGCAAATCCAACTCAACCTGAACCGTGAAACGTGCTCGCGATAAGGAGCGCTCCAACGTTGAAGCCGTCAGCGATTAGCGAAGACTTTTGGCCCGCTTGCTTCAGGTGGGGCACGTATTATCGATTTCGATTCCAAAATGCATTCATTGGTCAAAGCGAGTGCTCTAGCTCTGGCTCATATATCAAATGACAAACAACGAAATGTAATTAGTTTAATACACATAATAGGGTGTGTTCGATATCCGTCCTATTCGACCTGCCGCCCCCCGCTGGCCAGGCGTCTCTAAATGTGTTAACAATGAAATTTCATATAAATAAATAAAAAACAAGAGACAAAAACAAGCTCAAATCTAGTTGACAATCGCATAGTTCAATTTTGTTTATCATTATTGTTATTATAATTTATACATATGTATGTACACAGACATACATAAATTATACATACTGTGGTATGTATGTAACTTACATACATATATATTTATATTTAATTCTTTTTTTTTTTCTTTTGCTCAGATCGTTCACATGCTCCATGGAAAGCCCCAAAACATACATATTACGAGCTGACAAAGCTGTTTTTTTTTTTTGCTTTTTCATATGTGTAGCAGGTGTAAATCGGGGGAGGGGGGAGAGGGCGGTGTGCGGGGGCACGCTTCTTACTTACCTTTATTCAACGGCTTTGGATTCGACTGTTTGCGTCGTGACATTGTTTGCTACCAATGCAAAGTTGGCGGGATTGGGGATTGGGCCTGCTCCAATGTGTAGAGCTGCGTCCAAGTCGGCGTCTACATCAAATCCGTTTGCCTGTGCGACATTCACATTTACCGGCGGAAAATAAAACACGTTAAACACCTTGATTTATTTCCAATTGGAATGCAATTCGCATGCAGTTATCAACAATATTTGATTTAATGTGATTTAATAATTTATATTTATAATTTCGATTCAATTATATATGTGATTTGCATTGACCTTTTAGCGTGCATATTAATAATTAATTAATTTTAAACGAGGCGCGCGACGATCGCGAGTTCATGTAACGGTATCGCTCAAAGGGAATCTGATTGGCAACGCAATGGGCGGGCGTTCTATTCCAATCAATTGATGTTTCTTATTGGCATTACAATTGTTGCTTATAGCTCGTGTTATTGTTGCTGTTGTTGCTTCTAGTTGTCGCGTGTTGCGTCGGCGTCGGCGTAGCGTGGGCGTGCGGCGAACGACGTCCGAACAGTGCAAAGTCTTGCTCACAACTAAATGCTGCCGCTGTCGACGACGACGACGCCGTCGTTGCTGCGCTGCGCTGCGCTGCTTTGGGAGCTTTCGCCCCAAGCAGCCGCCAGCATAAAAACCGGTGAATTCGCTCGCTCTCTTTCTCTCTTCCTTTGCTCATTCGCTCAGTTGTTGATTGCGCGCGCATTCTCAGCTTTTTCATTTTGTTTTTACTTCAATTTTCATTGCACTGTCCGTTTCGGCTGTCTGTTTCGCAGCGTGATAAGAATCAAAACAAAAGGCCGAAACACAACGAATTTTCAGCGCACACATTCCACCGCTGCGCGTCTTGCACTGCTGAAACTGAAGGACTGCTACACCACATCTTTACTGTATTTTATATAATTTTAAAATATATCCTATTTAATACATCGATTGAAGAGCGAAACCGGCGTAAATTCTACGAGCCACACGGCGACTTACACTGCAGCTGTTCGCTGCGCCACAACCTCAGCAAGTATTGTCTAACTATCGCAATTACTATCGATATGTATTTTTAAGCGATTGGCAACGCGGCGTAGATTGGTTGGCAATGCCTGCGTGTTTAAATAAATTTGTAGCATACTCTTGGGCTACTTTGAATTTTTATTGGAATTTAAAATGATTCTAATTAGATTATTAAAAACGTTATTTATGTTATGAGGAATTTTTTTGATTTCAATTTTATTGTATTAAAAAGCTTAGTTAAATATTACGTATTTGCATACGCTTAAACTAATTTCATGTTTAATATTGTATTTTTAAATCATACCTATTATATTTATTTTCTTTCTGTAACTTTTTAGTATTCGGAATATGCCAATTAGATTTGTGTCTTCTCCACAGTTATTTGCACTTTTTCCAGGGTATTTGCAGTCTGCCCATTTGCCACGCACGTGACAGCCAATTTATTCGCATTTGGTTTCATATACATTATTTCGCTTCGTTTTATTTTATTTTCTTATTTTTTTGAGTTGGGGCTTTTTTGTCTTCTAATTTGCACCTATTGCATTTTAATGGAAATTTTTGGTGCTTTGCATTGGACGCTCATAGATTTGAAAAATGTCGACAGGAACGGAAATGAAATGCTTCCTCCATGAATGCCACGTAACGAAGTTCAGCTAGAAAAAAGGGACATTTACACAGGCTGAAGGCATGGGCAAGGGAGGAGGCGGATTTGGGGGCAGTTTGGGGCCGCAATAAATATGAAGAAAATGTGGGAAATAATCCGCGTTAACATATGGCGCAGTTGATTAGCCAAAAGCGTTTAACATAACTTTGCTGCTGCATCCTGCAGCCCGCCGCTTGCCGCGCCCCCCCCCCCTGCCCCCTTGAACTGCGGTCAACGTCGTTAATGAAGTATTCGCCACGTCGGCCTTCGCTGCGTTCATTCGCCCTGCCTTTTCATGCTTGACTTTTCGGGCAACGAATGCAATGCAATTCGACATTCGCCCAAAAACCTATAAATATCCAACGAACCGTAAGTGGCTGTAAATGTAGCTGTGGGTGTAGTCTATAGCTGAATTTGTATCTGTGTCTGTGCATCAGTGTCCTCAGCTGCCAAAATATCTGCATCTTTAACTAACAATGTATCTGCATCTTTAACTAACAATATATCTGAACCTGTCCGTATCTGTATCTGTTTTCCTTATTTGTATCTACAATCTGAAATATATTTCTATCTATACACACTCAAAGCCACAGCCTTCACTTTGTTTATTACTCGCGCTTAATCTGTATTTACTATGGCAACTGCATTTGTGTCTGTATCGCTGCCGGCAATTGTATCTGTATCTCTGTATGCATCTGTGACAGCCTCTATAGCTGCTTGGCCGTAATCTTGGTGCATTACACTCTCGCGGCCAAAACGGGCTGCGACCACTTCCAGGTCAAGCAACTTCCTCAGTTCCGAGGTTATCCACAGCTGCCGCGACTGCTGACTCGGTTGATGCCTGCGCTGCCGCTGCCGCTGCCATAACTGAATAATTGTATCGCATACGTGACGATATCATTGACCCAAGGGTGCAGTTACCTTGCACTCCTGTCATTCATATAAATTCATATAAATTTTGTACAAATATCTGGAGTGACAGTATTGCAATAGGGTATATTGGCATTGCAGATTGAGTGACATTTATTTAAAATAATGGAGAGATATAGAGAGAGAGAGATAGAGAGACTGAAATAGAAAAGAGAGAGATAGAATTAGAATAGAAGAGAGAGAGAGATAGAGCTAGAAAAAGGTCGAGAGAGAGAGAGAGAGAGAAAGAGAGAGAGAGAGAGAGAGTGATCGAGGGAATAAGCATCATTGCAACTCATAACTTTTCTCATTCATCATCGATAAATATATATGTATGTATGTAGCTCATAAATAGATCGTATACCATCGTAAGCTTAAAGAAGGTAAAAGAGGAGAGCAGAGAGGGAGATCGATAATATTCTATCTTACTAACAGCTTGAGCATATATCTCATTAAATTTTGATGTTCATTTACTTTGCTCGAGGTAGTCAATCGGATACCAAAGTCCATTCAATTTCCATAAAATATCATCGCAATATTCATAATTCTCCTGCAGTTTCAGAGCCACTTTGAAGACATATTGCGACTTGATTAAAAACATTGGCCTGCGCATTACGCCGTCTTCACAACCCGTTTTCAATGTTCTGACTGGTTTGGTTGTTTGTTTTCGAAAATGTGTTTCGCCTGGAGTCCATTGATCCGTTATGGTTGTGTCAGCCCTGGCGCAGAGGCTGTTTTTAACCTTGTTTGCCAGACAGTTATGACCACCCCCTCTGCGATTCGACACGCCCGCCGTCTCCCCCAGCCCATCCCTTGTGCGAGAATCAACGGACAGCAGCACTCTCGCTGCTGGGCTACTCCCAAAGAGATCATCGTCACACGCCCCGTTATGAGATGATCATGATCACGATCCGCCTGATCAGTGCTGTGCTAATGATGCATAAATTAAAAGAGCTGATGAAATTTGCCAGACGATTCGCATAAGCAGCCAAAAATGCATAAAGATATTACCAAAGAAACAGTTGACAAATGCGCAAAAAAAATTAAAAACAAAAAAGGAAAAAAAACGAAAACAATTAACAAAATAAAACCAAAAGGGCGAAAAGAAGATAAGAAACTAAAATTATGCAGTTATTTTTACACGTTTCGTTGTTGGCTTTACAAGGCGGCCGTGCCACGCCCACCACACAAATGTTGGCCCCAAAGTCCAATTGGCTAGGCGCCCTGCCTTTGAGGCTATTTATAAAACAACAGCAACAAACAACAACAACAACACCAATGTGAATAGCAATGAGAATAGCAATGCATTAGCCAACGCTTTGATTCTCAACAGCTGTTAATTGACAGCCTGTGTATGTGTGGGGGTTGTAAGCGTATGGGTGTGAGCGTGTGTGTGTGTGTATGTGAGGGGCTGCCATTGCGGTAGGTTCGCGCTTGGCACACGCTGCGTATGATCAATACGTATACGTATTTGTTTGCTTTGTGGGCAAGACGGCGTATCACGCATACGACCCGTGTGGCCCTAGCATTGGCTTCCTTTGCGCTTCGCTCGCTTATCAAACGAGCCAATTTTAAAGTCAGCTTCGTATCGGCTCAGCTATTTATAGTTAAACGACTTGCTGTGCTGCTACTTCTGCCGCCACTCATCGCACTCATTAAAATACCAAATTGCTCGTCTAGCGGATGCCCTGTAGCCAGTGTCAAAGTCCAAAAATGACTTTTTTCAATTTGCGATTTGCTTAGCTGATGCTAGTTCAAGTTAGTATGAGCTCATAAGCTATGCATATGCGAAAATTAATCTAAATTGCTTAGCAATGAATATACAATTATTGAATATCAAACATCAATTATTCTAGTCTATTTCATTTACAGGGTATATCATTTGAGCAAAATCTGTCTACAATATTTGAACACATCAAATTTATTTTAAAAGATTGTTTGATTGAATGTTTTATTGCTCAACTGATTGAGCGATGGATCATTTCCTGCTATAGGTAGCTAGCGCACTCCACTTGAGCTGTCTGAAGGGGTTTTTCTCTAATCTTAAGATCTGTCTGCGATCGTTAGCCAATGCATGACATCATTCCAAAGTTCAAATCAATATGCATTTAAACAATAATTATTTTAGTTGTTGTTCATGTTGCTGTTGGTGTTGTTGTTGCCGATTTGCGACCGGCCTGCTTTACATTTTTTTTTTTTTTACACTCATCGCTGGCTGGCTCAGGGTCTGGCGCTGTTGGTTCAACGTTTTCTCAATTTTGTTTTGCGCATTGACCTTTTTCGCGTGATTTTTTGCTGTTTGTTGCTTGTTGTTGATTTCGTTTTTGTTTTGCTGCAATTGTTGCTTCCTCGTCAACGCACAGTTGTCCTTGCCAAGTGCCAACGCCTCGCGGCACATGTTTCAAAAGTGATCTTGAGCCTGGGTATTGCCTTTCAACGGGTAATATATGGGTTCGAAGTGCAACCAAACTTTTGTCTCTCTTTCTCTCTCTCTGTCGCTGCGTCGCTCTCTTTTGGCATGGATCATCCGATCGATTTATGGCCCCCAAAGTCGCAACACACGATGCATAATTTGCAAAAATATGTTAATTATATTTTGTTTGTGCCTTCCTTTTTATTCATTAGACTCTGCTTCTTCCACGTTTTGATTATAAGCCGAATTATTCCACGCTACGCGTACTCTTACCAAAATACACTTTTAATAATAATACAAAATATAAAGTTATGTATTTTATCTTGCATCTATTATGATATACCCTGTAATTAAAATGCAGGCTTAGGTTTGACTGAACATTTGATATTTGAATTTTGTAAAATACATTTTGTATCGATATCGATAGCTACTGCTTTTTTATTTAACCAGCCGGCGACGTCATAAATATATCCAATTCAGCCTGGGTGGCAACGCTGGCTTTCAATGTTTGGCTACATAAAAAATGTGACTAAAATTTGAATTGGCCAAACGTAATAAAAACAAATAATAAATATTTAAAAACCTGCAAATTAAAATAAATTACATTTACTGGGTATTTGCGTAGGGTCCATTGGTGTTGGACTCATGATTTTTTTTATGGAAACGCGCTGTGACTTGCTAAAAATAAATAAATAATAAATAGACGACTAAATGTTGCTCGTGCTGCGATCAGCAACAAAAACAACAAGAGCAGAGAAAATGTGCTAAATTGTTTTTCGCAGCGAATTGCATGAGATTCGCTTGTGTCACAGCCGGATCGTGATTTTTGGTGCCC